GTGTGTGTGTGTGTGTGGAGTAGAACAGAAACCAAACCACGCTGTTAAAATATTCCAGTTATTTTTGGCTGATTGTTTCTCAGGTTTTCAAGGCTGCATCCTGGAAAGTCAGGGTTTTTTTTCCCTGTCCTTCGTCCAAACATGTTCAGATGAGGAGTTGTTGTAACCGTTGACCTTGGTTGACCGCTGTTTTGGACTGGAGAACTGACGGCTGCTGTGATTGGCTCCTGGAACCGTGTGACCTTGAACAGGATGAAACAGTTGGAGGTGAAAGTGTTTCAACATCTGGAGGAGGTAAATGGTCCGACTCTACTTCAGATCTACTGCAGATGTAGAATGGATTAGATGAAGAACGCAGTACACAGTACACAGTACACAGTACACAGTACACAGTACACAGTACACAGTACACAGTACACAGAAGTATTTGTAATTGTCCTGGTTCTATAAATCCATATTTCCAGGTTATTCCAGAATCTAATCCAACCAGACCATGATGGCAGTGGTTAGTTAGTGAAACTAGTAAAACTAGTACTGCAGTATCTGCTGCAGTACTCATGCGTACACCACCAGGGGGCAAAAGACAAAAACAAGGATGTGTTTGTTACTGATTGGCTCTCATGTGGCGTTCCATCTCTTCCTCTGGGAAAACGATGTCCTGTATCTGCTGGTCTACTCCTCCCCCACACCCCCCCACACTCCCCCCGGTGGTGGACTGATCGTACTGCATGAAAAGGCTCCGTTTTCTAAACATTACTGAGATGAACAGACCTGAAGAAGAAGAAGAAGAAGAAGAAGAAGTTTCCTCCTCCTCTTCCTCTTCCTCTTCCTCTTCCTCTCCTTGGACAGAACTCTAACCCTGTAAACAGATGGTACCAGTACTTCACTGAGTGGGACTGTTTGAAGTACACCATCAGTACCATCAGTACCATCAGTACCAGCTGCTGCTGCTGCTGCTGCTGTTGATGAAGCTAAAAATAAGAACGTGTTTGTGATGAAGAACAGAGAAGGTTCTGTCTCTGGAGGGAGAGAAAATATAATAATATAATACTGCAGTACACATGTACACACGTACTACAGTATACACACGTACTGTAGTATACACAGGTACTGTAGTACTGTAGTACTGTAGTACTGTAGAATGTACCACGTCCAGCACTGACCAACATCAGAGTCTGGGTTTTTCAGTGTGAGGGTGGGGGAGGGGGTCTATGGGAGGGGAGTCTGTGGGGGGGGGGG